ATTTATGTACTGTATGTATGTATGTATATGTATGTACTGTATATATAATTCAGAATCCTCCTAATAGATTTTCTGTTTTACCATCAAACTAAAAGCATCATCTCAAMCTATTACTGTGATGCTGGGATGAAAGCTCGGTTTCAGGGAGTGGTATATGAAAAACTAAACATATAGGTCTAGAGAGCATCTTATGCTGTGAAATGATGAAGTTAAACCAGTTTTCTTCTTTTTCTTGACTTTCTTGTTTGCTRTSAAAGATTTTGAAAATGAACTTTACATCAGGGGTGACAAACTTTGTGTCACATTACTCGTCTTATCGCTACGATAGAGTACTGTTACCRATCAATACCTGAACTCTACCTGGTATTTCATGCAYAGAAACAGCATTTTAACACGTCATCTTATAAACGGGACGTGTTTATAAGGGGCAAAGTGTTAACTCAATGTTTTGGTAAGCTGTATAYATTTAACCAGTCACACATGTTCAAACACTTGCACTAATTTAAAAAAGCGTGCACATTAATTTCTCCTTACAAATTGTACATGCATTTTTACTGCACATAGATAAAATGCTCTAAAACACACAGCATGTTGAAAGGTTTTTCCTGCAGGATTGTTTGAATTTTCTTAAGAATCGATGAAGACTTCGTTAAGCTTGATTCATGCTGGACATTCCTATTTGACTCATCAACGCCTCTAATGTTTGATTATGGAACTGCACCCACCATCATCGCTCTCAGGTAAAAGACAGATGAGTGACAAGACAGGGGCACTCCTGTAGCCCCGCCTCCAGATCTGCCCCTGAATTTTTTCCAATTATCTTTTAGCTTCTCTGTGCAGCTCTACCTAGTGGTGGGATGCAGTCATTTCACGTGTAAAATAATCGACATGCATTATGGGAGATGTAGTATAAGGGTTTAAAGCTGCATACCCTTATTTAAAAAATAAAATAAWACATCTTTTAAGCCATATAAAATTCTGTGTCAGGCCACATTTGSCCTACAGGCCTTGAGTTTGACACACATGATTTAGATCATCTCCTGACGAGGATATAAGCTTCCTGATTTGTGATGACCTAACTAATTAGTGGTTTGTTGTKTTTGTAAAAACTAAACATTTAATGTGTGTGTTCTTGTTTTTCTCCTCTGACAGGAGGCCAGCTTGTCCGTCTGGATGCTTTTCAGCGACAACACAGCCGCCCCTCTGATTTACTTTGATCCCAAAGATTACAACCTCAACGCCTCCACGCTGGACGACAAAGTGGTGTCGGTGTCCCAGGAGCCTCAGCAGCGCTGGCCCACGGTGGTGGCAGAAGGCGAGGGATCTGGAGAACTCGTGCGTGTGGAGATGACCATCTGCGAGGCCTGCCAGAAGACCAAACGCAAGAGCGTCATTGCATCTGCTGCGGTTCATGTCAAAGTTCGCTTCGGTCTGGAGGAGGACTCTGAGGAGGATGCAACCACAGAGGGCGAGATTGAGCCGGTGCCCGTCACCAGGCGGACAGTCATTGATCCCAACATCAATGAGAGAATTTATGAGACTTCTAACGAGCAGCCTGCTAGTGTTCCCATTGATTACACCAATTTCCCCACAATTAGCAACCAGGAGCGGCCGACCGAGAGTGCTGAAGAGGAGGAAGATGATTTTGTTCACTCCCCCCGCAACATGACAGACCTTGAGATTGGCATGTACGCCCTGCTAGGTGTCTTCTGCCTGGCGATATTAGTTTTCCTCATCAACTGCATCGTCTTTGTGCTGAAATATCGCCACAAGCGCATCCCGCCTGAGGGCCAGGCCAACATGGACCACTCCCACCACTGGGTGTTCCTTGGAAACGGCCAGCCKCTGCGGGCCCAGTGCGACCTGTCGCCGCAGCAGGTGGAGAGTCCCAGCAACCCTTTGGAGGGCGTACAGACTTGCTGCCACGGGGACCACCACAGCAGCGGCAGCTCCCAGACCAGCGTCCACAGCCAGGTGCACGGACGGGGGGACGGCAGCTCCGGAGGGTCCACGAAGGACAACGGCGAGGAGGCCAGTTCGCCCACCTCCAAGCGCAAAAGGGTCAAGTTTACCACRTTTACCACCCTCCCCACGGAGGAGCTCCCCTACAACTCCATCCCCATCGCAGAYGAAGAGGACATTCAGTGGGTTTGCCAGGATATGGGCTTTAAAGACCCAGAGGAACTGCACGATTACATGCGCAGAATAAAAGAAATAGCCTGAGATAGGAGGCTCCACTCAGCTTTCTAAAATAAAAAGAAAAGACATCTCCTTTCTATTTTTCTCTTTTTCACATAAGTGAAAGCTAATTTTTTCACAGACTAAAAGGCCAACGGTTGTTTTGGTTAGGGTTTGTTCCATGTAGTTTGCACAGTGCTGTATAATCATACACCCTCACACGGGAGCGAACGCCAGGAAGCCAAAGACTCGAGCGGAGGATCTCAGTCAGCGGAGACGTCTGTAAATCTTGGCTCCGGCAAACTCGTCTCGCTTTAGATGCTGAGCCATGATAACACAAACAAGAGCTGCTTCAGCTCCTTCTTTTTGCAGGAAATGCCTCTCGCAGATGCCTGACGTGGAGCAGAGCCGGCGGCTCGGCAGGACCTGACAGTACTGGACCTGTTCCAAACTAWGAGGCCTTTGATGAACAAAGAACTGTCAAAGAGTCGAATTAGACCTAAAACGGTTTTTCTGCCAAAGTAGGAGCAGAATTATTTTAATGGCAAATCTTCTTTATTGTTGTTGTTTGTGCAGCACATTCATGATTTATACTCATTACTTACATTTTCTACATTTCATAGGTAGTTGAAACCAGTGCCCTACTGCAAATCCCAGTGTTCCTGACAAATCGAATGCCTTATATTTAAAACAAAATGTGAYGGTTCACTTCCTAAATTGATGTGAACATCCTGTTATCTCACTGTCAAGAGGTTAGACTCTGAAAAAGTTGTGTGAAATGTGAATAAAAACTAAATGCAACAAAATGGCAGGTGTCATAAGCCACAACAGATTAAATGTTTAAATTAAGTAATTTTATGTCAGCAACACATCTTAAAAACATTCAGACYGATCCACAGTCCTGAATCGTCTTTGCTAAATTTTATTCAGGACAGGAGCTGAAACCTGTGTGCACTTTTCTGCATTGATGGTGCCTTCCCAGTCGTGTGAGACGCCCATGCMAGAGTCACTAATGCACCCCCCATACCATCAGACAGGCAGGTTTTCTAAATGAAATTTCAGATTTTGATTTATTTATCTTTGCTTCAGTTCATTTTAAATGATCTGTAGCTTGGATAGTGTTCAGACATGGTTTCTTCTTTGCGTGATAGAGCTTTAATGAGTATATGTGGATGGTACTACTGATAATGATGTGTGGAAGTGCTCCTGAGTCCCTGCAGTCATGCCCAGAGCAGAATCAGACCTGTTTCTGCAGATTCTTCTAATCTGTTGGTGAGATTATGAGCGGCAGATGATGGGAAACCCCTGCCCATCCTTGCTTCTGAAAGATTCAGCCTCKCTAAAATCTCTTTTTATGCCCAGTCTTTTTACTGACTTCTTGCCTAATCCAATAATTAGTTACAAAATGCTCCTCCAGTTGTTTCTYATTCGAACCACTTATATATTGCTGCCAAAAAAATTCAAAATAACCTCATCTTAGTTTAAACATTTGATAAGTTTACTATCATATATATACATCCTTGTATTTAATTTTTTGACATTTTGCACAAACTTTTTCAGATTTCCACAYGAAGAGAACTTCACATGAAAGAGAACCATAAGGCACAAATCAACCTTTTATTTTTTCAAATTTGTAAATGTTCGTATTGTAATTAGATGATTATTTATACACATTAATCAGCTGAATATGTTATCATGCATTACCATGCATGCCGTGTCCGGCCTACGTACACGCAGCCGTTCCTCGGTGTAAATACCTGTCGAGCACTTCAAATTCTCAACCGAATCCACGGAGCAGGAGGAATCCCAATCKGGTTGAAGTTTTGGAACTTTTATATTCTTGTGGTGGGTCTAGAGTTCCCCCGACGTTTTCGTTCTGATAGATGTAGATTTTTAACACGCTGGTAACACATTTGACTGTTAAAACGTGGGGATTTGCTATGCATCAGGACTTTAATGCTTTTGTTTCCCTTTCCCAAAATCAGCTGATCCGCAGCCGAGGAGACGAGAAAATTTAGAAACTGAAACAAACTGAGCACAAGGGCCGAAATATTCTGTGAGGAAATGTGACAAATCCAGAAACAAGGTTAAAATTGTATTTTTTTTACCTCGTCATTTATGTCATCGCTGTCTCGTGGTTTCACACTAATTTGACTAAGGCTGCGCTTTTTTGCGCAGGAGACCTTGGCCTCTAAATCCCCCGCTCCCCTGCTGTGAGCCACATAGTGTCTATTATTATGCTAAAGAGGCGCACGCACACCTAGAGACACACCTAACCCTAATCACTGCTCACCTACATGTCCACCCTCAGCCCAACAGTGTGCTCCTACATATCCGGGTCACGGCACCAGAATGTCCGGGTCACGGCACCAAATTTTACAACAACGAAAGATGCTTGTATGTAGATGTTTTTGCAGAGTGTCTGAACCTGGCATTGCGTCATCTTTCAAGGACCAGGCTGGGGATGTGGCTTTTTTCATCATGGCCTTTTCCAGCATAAAACGATGTTGAAATTCCAGTGAAAGGCCAAGTATAAAGTCTCGTCTGCTCTTTTTACAATTTTTTACTGTAGCTCTGAAAATACAGTGGCATCAATGTATGTTCTTTGCAACACACCACATTTTTCAGAGCAAAAACTTGTAAACAAGAGCCCTTGAGAAACAATGTGACAATATCATGAGGCGTGGTGGGCGTGGTGGGTGTGTCTGGATTACCTGCAGGAATTTGTCGAACAAAAGGCCACTAATAGCCCTCAGATTGCTAAGAAGAAGGAGGGGGTTTGTCCTCAGGATCTTGAAATTTCAGTCAAGCTAGTGTTCAAGCACATTATTTTATTTATATATCGCAGTTTTTATTCATCATCTCCAGCAAACATTTAAACTTCACAGCGTGAGCAGATAAGAGTCAGTTGGTGGGACAAAGAACAACACTCAATATAATTTTTTTTCTTAGTTGAATAAATTGTTCACACAAATGTGCAATATTCTCTAGGTGTTGTGATCAGTTTTGTTTCCAGTGTGGACAGGAAGTGGAGTTAAACACAACACCAGAACCTAAATGATGATTTGAACCATCTACATATTTCAACATGATAAAGTCATGAAATGTTAATTGTTGTCCTGATAATTTCATTCTAAAAGGTAAATCAGAAGCAACCTGCATAATTTGGGAGATTTTTTAAATCTTTGAGTTATTTTACTGACAGCTCCTGTGAGATCGTTCAGCTCAGTGTTTTACTTGTTTTGAACGTTTGTGGTTTTAAAACAGTTCGGCGGCTTTGATTTAAAATTCTGAGTTATTCACCGTATAAAGCTCCAGTTCACAAGGAAAGTTGTCTCTGAGCTCTGTACAAGACAACAGGGGCGGAGCCAGAGGGGTGCCCAGGGTGTCACTTGGCCACCCCAGGTGCCACCCCCAAATGATTGACAAGTGGGGTGGAGTTTGTATGTGGCATTTTAAAGATGGGCATTCAATGAGAAATTTTATCGGCTAGCTGGGTTAGCTTTTAGCACATCATGGGGATTGAGCTCGGCTATCAACATTCCAAATTTCAGCTCAGTATTCCTAAAAGTGGACGATTTGTGGCCGTTTGAAATCAGTTTTGGCTGCCATGATGGATTTTGTATTTGAAACCAGATTGTAAACGATTGTTTCTCAGCTACTACTAACTGTGTGTGTTTAACAATGGCTAAATTATATCCCTTTGTGAAATTAGCATTAGCAATTGTCTTTGCAATCACCATGTTTTTGGATAACTAGTAGTTACGATCACACACATAGCTCAATATTTCTTAAAACACCTGAGTTAGAGCTGTTTGATGTTAGCTATGGAGGGCATCTTGAATTTTCAAATCCAAAGTAGTTTTATTCATTTGTATGACCCCCCCCCCCCCCCACCCCCTGAAAAACCATCTTGGCCACCCCTGTGCCAGTTCCGCCCCTGCTAAACAAAAACGTCAGTCAGATCCAAGGAGCTGTTGATCCCAGAACCAACCTGTCAGCAAATCTGTGTCCAAGCATAAAAAGTATCATTCATCTGCTAAATACCACATTTGTTTTTCATCTACAGAAACAGCTGAAGTGACTGAAAATAGGTTGAAAATGACAACTTCGTTTGAACATTTGTTTGGGATGGAGGAGTCAGACATTTTCCGTTCTTTTACCCTGAAATATTTCAAACCAAACAGTCAAACCCTGCAGGATGACAGCAGAGTTGAGACACTTTATTGCTGTCACCCTGAAACTGTAGCATATGTTCAGTTTTTTAGTAATAGATAACTAGAGACAACTTCTGATGGTTAATTTTGTTCCAGCTCTGATCTCACATGAAACAATTTATTTTAAGGACTAATGAGCCAAGCGTGAGATGAAACAAAAAAGTCTCTCTGAGTTCGTTTCGTCTGATTCTCTGAATTTGAGAGGCTTTGATTGTTCTTTTATCTGGTGAAACTCAGAGTCAAAAGAAATCAATAATGAGCTCAGGTTCTGTTTGTTCTGATCCTATCTGCATCATTAGAAATAAACCCAATCCAGAACTCAGAATATTATTAATGCAGCTTAATAACTGAACTAATTATTTTTATTTATTTTTTGATCTCTTACAGGTAAAATATTGTTTTCTCCCAGCAACATTGTAAATACAGGAGCAGAACTTGGTTTTTATTTACTGGAACATGATCAGTAAACCAAATGTTTCAAAAATGTTTCATGTGTTCTGCCAACAGGATGAGACTTTTTTATATATATTTATTTAACTCCATTTTACTTTTTACCCAGTCTGCTAATATGGAAGCACATTTCTGCCACTGTGGAGAAAAAAAACTTTTAAGTCATAATTATGAGATCTTTAAAATATAGTTTGGTTTCTCATAATTGTGTTTTAGCATTTTGTTCTTAATTAGCATCTCAAAATTAGTTATTAATATCCAATATCTTACTTAGTGAATTAGCATTTTATTCTAATGTCTTGGCTTTTAATACTTTGAACTTAGCATGTCAGGCTGATTAAGCATCTATTTACAATTCAGCATCTCAGTGTAATGATCTGACTTAGCAATTCAAAGTATTATGACTTAGCATCTCATAATTATGAGTTAGCATTTCATAAATATAACTAGCATCTCAAAACTATGTGTTAACTGCTCAAAATTATGACTTAGCATCTCATAATGACTTAGCATCTTATAATCCTCAAGTCGTAGTTTTGAGATCTTTGTCTTCATTATTAYAACTTAAACATTTTTTATTAACATGGCAGTAATGGCCTTCCATAGTAAGCTTAAAAGTTTTTGTTTTGCCTATAAATGATGGTCGTTTGGGACGTTTGTAGCTCTCCTGACAGAATCTGGCTGATTTATGTGTAATGACTGATCTGGTGACCTTTTCAGTGCAGAGTAACTAACAGCAGATTTGTTCATGCGTGATAAATACTGATCCTGTTTTGTTTTGTTTTTTAATTCTCCTTCTTCCTCCATGCATTTTCAATCTTTTTTTGTTGTTGTAAAGCTGCCATGTTACTCATTTCTCTTGTCTTCAAGCTGCTAACAAAGACTTCTTACAACATGTAAATGAAGATTTTGAATTGTATTCCCACCCTCACAAACCACACGTGGTGACCTGTGCACGACATCCACGGCTCTGTTGGCTGAGTTGAGTAACCACCACACTGACTATAATATTGTAATGTACAGAGCACTGTTAAATTTCCTGTATTCTATTGAAAACGAGCCCTTGTATTTTCCTGTTATATGTAAAGTACTAAAGAAAATGCAATACACACGTGACACAGTGTCATTTTTTTACCTCATTAGTTGTGTTTATTTTGTTTGTTTTTGTCAGTTACGGTGCTTAAAACAGTTCAGTTTCTTTATGTTTTGATTCCAGGGAACCTGACCGGTTTGTAATATTTGAAAGCTGTCTTAATCAGTAGTTTTTTTAGGATTTAGATCACTGACAAATGACCTAATGGTATCCAGATCCAGTCCTGCAGGTTCCCCTTAATAACCTGTTTATTTAAGTCAGGTGTGTTGATTTAAATCAAGTGTGTTGATGCAGGAGAACTTCTAAACCCTGCAGGATGAAGGCCCCTCAACTGCAGCTACAAGGATGATGTAAGAGGAGTTGTTCTTTTAGTTATTTTAATGGTATAGTGAGCKGTTTCTGGTGTGACACGTTGCTTTGTGTATCTCTCTCTCATCCTGGCTGAAGCCTTGCTGGTATTTGAAGTGCACGTGTTGCGTTTCGCCCCTCGCTGTGCTCAGTTTGACGCCACAGTTTGAGTGTGTGCGGAGAATGCCATCCACCAAATCCAAACTCGGAGGTGTTTACTTCAAGTTCTGCTGTCTTTACTGCGTTGGTTGGCTTCACGTGGACAAAGCAAAGATGAAAAGCCCTTTGAGCTCAGGTAAAAGCAGTCGTTTGTCAGGGAAGTGTAAGAGGGTCTGGAGACAGATCCTGACGTTTGATCGCTGGGGGGAAGCTCTTAAACACAACAATTCATCGTAAAATACCAAAGATAAACTTCAGAGGAAGAGTCTGTTGGCAAAATGTTTCACTCAGACTTTAACAAATTTTTATATCAGCGACTGTAAAACTCAGAGTTATAGTTTTGTGAGCTCAGTCAGTTGCAGCAGCCATCTTGAATCGGGTGTTTTTCTAAAAGCTCAGTTGACCCTTAAAGTAGACATATGATTTTAAATCCTTCCTTTTCACATTTATATCCTTCACTTGGGTCTTTATAAAGTGGAACTACAATGCTTTGGTCTAAATTCCTCCTTATTCTAACTTTACCAGCCCCTCTTTCACCACTTTTCTGCTGTGTGTCTCAAAGCAGCTCATTTTGTTACTGTTCCTTTAAGAAGCTCCAAGCCCCGCCCCACTCCAGCTTCCAGACCGGTCCGCTCCAGTTTGTGAGAGAGAGGGGGGTTAGCATTTTCTAGCTTGCAGAAACATTTTATTTACAATTAATTCAAAGATCTCAACAACGGAGGACTTGTTCATCCAGCCGCATATTGGAGCCAGAGTCTGACCCAGAACCAGAGGAGAATGAAGATGAGGAAACTGTAGTTGGTAAGTCCAGTCCTAATTTGGTAGTCTGTTGCAGATAATTTGACGTAACAGTCCAGAAAACGTCATAGAAAATAGAGAAAACTGAAGGGGCTGAAAAATCTGACCCAAACTACATAAATATAACGATACACAGTAAAAAAAAAAAAAAAACAAAGTGTCATTTTAACACTTATAGAGTTGAATTTAACTCTGTTTCATACAATGTTTGTCCCCACTCAATATTAGTGTCAAATGTACTCTATAGCCAGTGTCATCTTCTCAGAGTTAATTTGACTCATTTTAGTGTCAAAAGCAACAATGTAAAGAGTAAAATCATTTCACACTATAGTTCATTTACACTCTGCAGAGTAATATTATTTTTCTGGCTTTATACTAAATTTACTATAAAAAGCACCGTTATTTGTGATGTTTCTATGTTTTTTTTTTCCTTTTTACGCTTAAAGAGTTGATTTTAACTCTTGGTTAGAGTGCATAACTGTGCACTCTGACTTAAAGTGTTGTATTAACACTATTTTTCCTTTCATTGAACAGCACAACAGGGTCGACTTTCACACACCAGGAAGTACCTCTCACTCATGGTGTCAATTTATGGCCAATAACACAAAACCTAAACTTAAACAACTAACCAACCTGAACAAGAAAACTGACCAAAAAACTATTTTTTTACATTAATGAACATTTTTAACAGTCTTAGACAAGCAAACACATAATTTCTACAAGATTACCCAGCATCCCTTGCTGAGAAAATTCTGGTCTTTGAGGAAGGGGGCGGGACCTTTCAGAGTACTTCTTTCAACACTGTTAAGTGTTAATCAAGATTTAACAGTGGACGGAGCTTGTAACACTGTCCAGAGTTGAGACAACACTGATGAAATTAACTCTATGAATTAACACCAACAGTGGATGTTAATTTACTCAGAAAGTGTTAAAAATAACACTTGGGAGCTGTATTTAACTATGAAAAGTTTAACACTGAAATTTTAACACTCCAGTTTTTACTGTGTATCTCTGCAGCACCAGGAGAGACTAAATTCAACTTTTCTGCCTCTTAGAGACTCCAAGTCCACAACAAAATGTATTTAACAGCTAAAAAAGGGAATTTTGAAGATATGTCACCTTTAATAGTTAAAGGCTTGGATGAGTTTCAGCTACTACTGCACCAAATCTGAGTTAAATGTGTAAAACTGGCTGAATCGAAGCCAAATTTTTTTGTCTGAAATGAACACATGAATACGTGTAAAAACATGAATCCACCTTTAGCAACAGGCAATAACCATATGCTTTAACCATAAAATGTTGTGTACAGAGATATGTGACATAGTCTGAAAATAAAGATGGAGACAAATCTTTTCATTGAATTTAAAATGCTGCTTTTTATGTCAACTTGATTTTGTTCAGCATCTTTTTAAACAAATGTTACAAAGTTGCTTACATTTAGAAATTGCTTAAAACAACATCATAAACCACACAAAATATACACCAGATCAGTTAATCTAAAAATGTAAGACTAAATAAAACAATGATATAAAAGAAGACAATGATGTGGCCTGTTTAATACTCCTCCTGTCACCAACTCTGGGAGTGGAAAGGAATATTTTAGTTAAGGATCTGAGATTATGGGATGGGATACATGGGGTAAGAAGCTCAGATAGATAAGATGGTGCAAGACCATTTAAGGATTTAAAAACAATAAAATTTTCAAATCAATTCTAAAATCCACAGGGATGCAAAAAGGACAGAATCGGAGTGATATGCTGGTATTTATGGCACCGTGTGAGAACTCTAGCTGCAGTTTTTGTATTATTTCAAGACAACTGAGAGAACATTGAGTTAAACCAGAAAACAAAGAATTACAACAATCAAAATGTAAAGAAACAAAAGCAAGAATAAGAGTTTCAGTGAATGCWACACATGCTCTGATTTTGTTCCTAATTTAAAAAAGGCTGTTTTAGTGATGTTCTTAAAGTGTTTGACAACTGCAGTTAGAACAGAAACTGACTGAGTTAGATCCCTTTAGGTCTTTGACCCAAACACCATTACCTCAGTTTTATCATTACAAGGTAAAAGATAATTATCAGACTTCCAGGTTTTAATGTCTGAAAGACCAAAATTAAATAATAATAAAAACATCTAAAATTAAAAATTTTAGCTGTTTTTTGCTTGTTTTTATTGTTTGAGTGTTTTTTTAGTGTTGATTTGCTTTATTGTTTCCAGCCCCTCGTGTACAGCACTTTGTGTCAGCGACCGCTGTTTTAAAGTGTTTTATAAATAAAGTTGATTTGATTTGATTTAAAATGAAACTGATCTCTCAGGTGTATTTTATTGCATCTGGAGATTTGAATTAATAAAGATGTGTATTATATTTGTATAAAAGCATGCAGGCAGGTTATATTCTGCCATAATTTATCTGCCAGCGATGGCTGCTTCTGTGGAGAAATGTAAACTCTTCCTGACATTTACATGCTGCTGTAAACAAACACCTGCCTCAATGTTATATCAACAGACAGGAGAAAATAAGTGAGTGGTGGAAGAAAACAGGAGCTAAAATCACCTTTAGTCCAGCGTGGATGAAGATGCTTTTTAAAGTTGGCATTACTGAATAAATCACACAGCGAGAGCAGGAAAAGAATCACAAACTTTAGGAATAAATCCCATCCAAGATGGCCGCCCAACTAATCAACCTAGTTGATTAGATAATTCTGGTTTAAAACCTTTRCATGAGGGTGATATGAATTCCTTCAAGGATAAAGGGGTCATTTTTAGTGCAGTAAAGTCAAAAAACTTATTTTTCTGAATATAATAACGGTTTGGGTCAGGAAAGTGGGAGTTTGTCTCCTGTGATACGGGACCTGCACCAAGTTTGACAGGTTTTATTTAAGATTCATCTTTAAAAACGATTAAATGAAATTTAATAAAGCAGCTCTTTTCCTGAGGCAGTCACCTCTGTGCTTTTAAACTGTATCAAATTCATCTTCTCTGTAGTTCTAATGTCACTTTGGTGTTTCTATATTTCCCACCTGAGTCCACTTTGAGCCCATAAATCAGATCTTTGAATCTCATCCTCATTTTGTCATTCTTCAGCCCTCTCTCCTCCGTCTCCACCGCTTCATGACGCCCCGAGAGTCCAACCTGAAGTGTCTGCCAGCTGGTCAATCTGCTCACACGTCAACGTCTGGATTCCAGGTGTTTCTGTTCACTTCTCTTCATTCATGTCACCAAACAGAAACGTCTTTGTTGACCAGCTCATCTCTGGGAAAATGTTTAATTAACTAAAACTCTGCTTGTTGCTTCTTAAGATCCTGAAGTTCATTTTAAACATTAACTCATTAGAAGTTGAGTTTTAGCAGTGCTAGGAGCTAAATGCTAACTGGATTGAAAAGCCTGACAATCATTTAAGAAATGATATCAAATCACCCACCATCCTCAGACCAGAGTTAAACTGAAGGAAAGACTACATCTAAAATGTAGTGTGGAAGGAACGTTACATGGAAACATTCATTTCTTTTCAGAAATATAGATGCAGCAATGTTTCAAATTTGATAACCAACACTTTTCACAGCTTTAGCTGAGGTTTATAATGAGCACTTACTAAACCCATCCTCCCACTGCTCAACTGGCATAAAATCACCATGTGTGTTCTTTTTATTTAGAAAGGGGAATACAGTAGTATGTGTGTGTGTTAGGGGTGCAACTATAATTCACGATTCGGTTCGAT